AAGTTTAGAAATTCCAGAGAAAATATGGAGCTCTATAAATACTAAGTCCATGTAACAAGTAAAAAAAAACCTGACTTTCTAAAATCTTTCTACAACAACCATATATGAGTTATCTTATATTTTTAGCCTTTATTTGTGATTTCTTTTTAGATTAAGGATAATTAGATTAAGAACAACGTACTTCTTAGCATCTACTAAAATAGTAAGGTTTATATAATTGGTTATCAAAATATAAAAAAGTAAAAGGGATCCCAAACTCCCAACACATGTTGTGTTCATATTAAAGATAATGTTAAAAAAAAAAGTTTGAACCAAATTTTTTTTATTAAAAATAAATAATGAATGCTTACCGTGAAAAACAAATGTTGTTTTTTTTGCCGAAGCTCGTCTTCTCCATTTTTTTCAACTACTTGGAGTCTTCAAATTATGCGTCGCAATCTACAGACTTTGGCAATTCTTTTGAAGCGCGTTTAATTCATAAAAGTTTTAGTATTTGACGTCACGGTAGACTTTTAACAAAAGAAACTCTGGAAATATTTTTATTTATTTTTAGTCGAAGTTTTTTTGGTTATTTCTTTAGTTTTTTTTTTTTTCTACTTTTAATATTTAAAAAGATATTAAAAACCTTAAAGATTTTATGCTGGTTCGTTGCTATAAATTGTTATTGCGCCATATATTTAATGTTTATAAATTATGAATATTTATCTCAAAATTTTTATCTCAAAAATTGTTTTACATTAATTACCTGTATAATATTAAAAATATTTATCTAAGTAAAAAATATTTATCTCAAAAACTGTTTTACATTAATTACCCGTGTAAAATTAGTAACAGCTTTTTTATTTGGTTAGACGATATTTCGTTTCAATTTGCTTTGCATGAAGTTCGGAAAGTCAAACGAAAAAAATAAGTTTGAATAATCACGTCGAAATATATTTAAAACAAATTATTTTAATGACGGGGGTTCTAAAGTTTTTTATAACAAATGTAGGTAAAAAAAATAAATAACTAAATAAAAAGTTCAGTATTAAACACCATTTCTTCATTATATTGCAACTGTAAATATTGAATTATTAACTTGAACTAAATTTACTTATTATTTAGAACGACTAAGCAATAAAAATAAAATGCCCCTAAAATTATGCGAGATTGTGTTGTTTATTTGATAACTGTTGTTGGAAATGTTGTTTATGTTGATTATTTTCATAAATATCAAAATAGTTCCAGATTAATCTGTTCGTTGCTTTGCTCATTGTTGATTTATTTCTAATTTAATTTTATCTCAAACTATAATTATATGTTAAAAAAGAAAAGTTTTTATTTCATCGGGCGCTCTTTTTATAAAAGAGAAAGAAAAGTTTCGAGTAATTAAACTTTGAATAAATAAGAGTTGTATAGAATATAGATTTTTTGCGTCACTTGTTCTTTTTTTAGATGAGAGAAATAAAAGTTTAATAGTAAATTTTCTTTGAATAAATGAGAATTGGAAGAGAAATTTGCTTAAAAATTTGTATTTGTTAATTGTGTTTTTAAAATTTTTTAATTTTTCATGTTAAGAGACAAATGCCAATTACGACACAAATTTGGAAATACCAAATATAATGTTTTTTAATGCGCGTTATGACATTTTAACAATTTATATTACCATCTATCTTGAATTATTGCCTTTAATTAATGTGTTAATTATTGTGTTATTTAATAATAATTTGTCCGTATTTTTGTTAAAGGGATCCCTAAGTGCTCCTAACATATGATCTCATATGAAAGAGCATAAAAAAAAATATGTAAGTTTTTTTTCTTTTTCACTAAATTGTAATAATAAATGCATGCTAACAAAAAGCAATAGCCGAAATCACTAAAAAACAACTCCATTTTGATTTTATTTTTTCACCATTGAAACTTGATTGTTAGTTGTTAAAAATCACGTTAGTACGTCACAACAACTTTAGAATTTCTACTTCAATTTTCAAGTAAAAAAAAGTCGTGATTAAATAGTTAAGTTTTTTTAATTAGTTTTGCAAAAACAGTATAATAGCATTCGGTTGAAAGACGTCGTTAAAAAAAAGTTATAAGTAATAGTTTTAAATAGTTTAGAACTTATAAAAAAGTCTTACAGGGCTCGTATTAAGCGTATCGCGATCGCAATCGCGATTGCAACACACACTTTTGTGATTAGTTTTCTCTTAAAAAAAATCTTTTTGCGACTCGTTTTTTTTTTGGTTGATTAATTACTTTTTTTCTAGCTTAGCATTTTTTTTAGCAATTCTTAAAAGTAATGTTTTTATCATAAAGAACGTCACACAAAATTTATTATTCTGAATAGATAGATGAATAGATGATTTGCTCTTTTGCGCGGAGATTTTCTTTCAACGTAAAACATTTTTGAATTTAAATTACTTTAAATCTCTGCGTGGAATATTTTTACAAGGTCGTTAAAGCGAAAAGTTGAAAAGTTGGTTTTTATCTTTGTTTATCAAAACTTCATGTTTAAAATAAGGCCTAAAAACGTTAGAGCAGAAAAATTACTGACTTTTATTTGCATTTTTATACTGTTTGAAAAAAAAAAACTAATAAAAAAGAATTAGTATATAATTATTAATTAATATATTATTAGTTAATTCTTTTTTATTAGTTTTTTTTTCAAACAGTATAAATATGCTAATAAAAACCAGCAATTTTTTTACTTTAACGTTTTTAAACATGAAGTATAATTCGATTTATTAAACCAAATTTTTTTGTTTTATCTTTTATTGGAAAACTTGAAAAAGAAAAATTAAATAAAAACATCAACCATTTAAATGAAAAACTTAATTATATTTAAACTTTTATTAGTCCTTTATTCAAGAAACAATAAATTATAAAAAACGTGGTATCTAAGTTTTTGACGATGTTTTTTGATTTATTGACGATAACTTTTTCCCCCCATTACCGCACATCGGCGCGAGCTATAAGAGAGTGGGGGGGGAGGGGGAGAGAGCAAAATAAAAAAAAAATTTTTCGCGATTAGATTTTTTTGCATTAATTCGAGCCTTGTCTTAGATTAATTTCTAATAAAATGTCTATTCAACCTTATCAATTTGAACCAAAAAAATATAGCAATTTAACATAAATGTTAATTCAAACTAAAACATTTTACAATCATTATGAGAGTAACCGTCACTTTTGAAACCATAAAAATTACTGAAATAAATTTATTTTTTTACTAAGGAAATATTTTAAATAAACTTTCTTATGTCTAAGTCAATATTCATTTGTTTTTAACTGACTAAAAAGAGTTTAAAATTTGACTTCTATTCATTTTTAGCCGTGGAATTGCCCTTATAACACAAATATATAAATTAATATTATAAAAAAAATTTTAATATACAAATATATTTTCACATAATGCTACAAAACTTATTCTTGTAAGTAATTATGTGTTAGTTGAAAAAAAACGACTTTACTTTTAAATTTAATTACCAACTAATAAGTTTGCAATAATGACATTTTTTCTACTTTGTTTAATTTGACGTACTAACGTTAGTTTTTTGAGGCAGTAGAGTCAATAAACTTTGGACAAGAGGCATTTTTTTTAATCGAAGAAAAGCGTTTTTTTGAAAATTAAATTTGTTAGTGTGTGTTCATTATTGCGTTTTAGAAAAAATAATGTACATCAAACATTTTTTTTTTTTATGCTCTTTCATATGAGATCATATCTTTATAGCACTTAGGGATCCCTTTAAATATTAGTTGAATAAAACGGGCGAAAATATACAAACTTCATGTTTTTTATTTGATGGTTATAAAATATTGAACAGTAAACTTATAATCAAAATTTATAATGCCGACTTGTGTTGCAATTAATTGTACTTTTAATGCAAAATCAGGATCTCATATATCCTTTCACGAATTTTTATATCTGATACTACTGTCAACTGTATTGTTTAGTGTATTCTTGTACTTTTTTTTCCAAATCTTAACAGGTTCTAATTGGTATGGAGTTGCTGACATTTTAAAAATTTCATTATCAAAAATCAAATGTAAAATAAAATGGTATTTCCTTTTTATCTGTATCCAATTCAGCAAATTTAACAATTTAAATTAAATCAGCGTGATCAAAAAAATTTTATAATAAAAAAAGTTAACAATTCATTAAATATCTCTAATTAATACTGTCAGTTTATGAAAGTAATTGTTAATAAATACTTTTTTTCAACGGGAAAACAAAAAATTGTCATAACGTAAAAATAACCAGAGAAGTTAGAAAATAGTTCCCATTGTTTAAATAAAAATAATTAAGAATCAGAATATATAATAATGCGCTCTCTTGGGCAAAAACAAGAGACCGTATATAAAACGTTCTATATAATGTAAAATACTTGTATGAAAATCATGAGATTGGCTTTAATATTTGTTTTAATTTAAATAATTAAAGAAATATAAGTAAGAAATATAAATCTAAAAATTATTAAGATATCTGTAAAAAATAAGTTGCTCCTGTAAAATAAAAATAATTTATTGTTTTTACTTTTTACAAAATTTTTTGCGATGTTTGGAAAAATAATACAAATAAATTTATTTTGCTGTATGTTAAAAAAATACTACAGTAGAAAAACACAGCTTAGTTTAATTACACTTTTCTTTTGTTAAAAGTCTACCGTGACGTCAAATACTAAAACTTTTATGAATTAAACGCGCTTCTACAACTTTTTTTATTTTACAACTTTTTATTAAAAGTTTGTGTAACCACAGTTATAAGTAGAAGAAAGCAGGATCAACATTTTACAACTTTTCATTAAAAGTGTAACCACAGTTATAAATGGTAGAAAGGAGGATCAATATTTTACAACTTTTTATTAAAAGTTTGTGCAATCACAGTTATAAGTAGTGGAAAAACGAATATTTGAAACACAAAGAATTATAAATAAAAGGAAAGGTCAATATATAAAATTTTAAAACTAAATACATTTCTCTTCTTAAAAAAAAACTTTTTCATTTTACCTTATGGTAGTTTAAAAAACATCTCCGTACCTCAATATCACTTTTTTGGTCATCATAATTTAAAAAGAGCCTTATTTTAAAATGAGTCATTATTACATCTTTTTTTAGTAGTTTACTTTATTTTTTATTTGATTTTAATTATAACTCCAAACAAAGTCTAAATGAAAAAAGTAAAGACACTTTTAAGCAAAGCTGGCACTAAGTGTGTGTGTGGGGGGGGGGGGGGGGGAGGAGTCTGTCAATGAATTTTTTGTTCATTTAGTTGGCAAATTTGACTCACTTTGTAAACAAGAGATATAAATTTCAAATTCACCACATATCTGAAAGTACCATGCTAACTTGTTTTTCTACACAGTAGCCTTATTCACCTAGGTTCACGATTATGCAGTTTTCTCAATTATAGTAGTCCTCCTGAGCTTTGACTTGTGGGGGTACTTTAAAATAATTTCATAGGCCTATTACTCTTTTTGAAGATAATACTGTTATATTTGTGTTTTATGTATAGACTTATAAGTATAACACAAATATATTGTTATGAACTTGCCAATATATTTGGTTCTTTATTTAATGCTTCTTTATTTAATGATTCTTTATTTGCCATAAAATACATTTTAAGTATTTTTTTATTTAATTTTAATATTTTTAGTACATGCATATTTTTAGCATGCACATTTTTTTTTTTAGTATGCGCATATTTTTAGTATGCGCATATTTTTAGTATGCGCATATTTTTAGTATGCGCATATTTTTAGTATGCACATATTTTTAGTATGCGCATACTAAAAATATGCGCATACTAAAAATACAATATTCATTAAGGAATGCTGCTTAATAAATATTTAATCAGAAGACAAAATACCAAAAGGTCAGCATTGTTCATACTCTGATAAAAAAAACTTGTCTACCCCATTACCTCCACAATCCTCTGATAGTAAAAAAAAAGTATAAAAAACTTTATCTATTGCTTAGGTCCATTTATACTTTTTATGAAAACTGTTTGAATTCGACAACTGCAGTTGTCCTGTTTGTTTGATTTTGTATTTCAAAAATTGGTTTAGTCTAAACAAAACAACTTTGAAATGAGAATCAATGCGTATAAGCTGTTTTGTGTGTGTTTTACAGTAAATGATTGTTGATAGTTGAGAAAAGTTTGTTATATGTATGTTATATGTTTGCAGGCCTTGTTTTGAATAAAAACGGCTTAGCACATTAGCTCCTCCTCATGATTTTGATGTCATAAAATTTTCTTTATTTCATTTTTTTTTTTTATTTATAAACATTTTTTAAACTTCCTCAATAAAATGAATTACCAAAAAACGAGTTTAATTTACTAAAAAAAAAAAAAAATCTACAAATGTTATTTTTAAATGTGCATGAGCCCTGACTTTGATCCCAGGGTGATTTAAAATAGTAAAAAAAATATAATTTTACTAGTCAGCCACAAATCTGAGAAGAGATTTTTAGTTTTTTGTAATTTTCATACAAAGTTTCAAACTTCAACTTCAAATTACTTGAGTCAAAATAGATGGATTTACAAAGGAAAATTGATTTTCTTTTGTAAATTTGAAAAGAATTCAAATAAGCATAACCCATTAAAAAAGTTAATATCATAAATTTAATCACTGCAACATAATTGATTAGTAAGCATTAGTAAGATTAGAATGCAACAACCTTACTTAATGCATGGATTCTTCCTTTTGCATGTGCAATATTACTGCTCATTTTGTCCTGCAGCTTCCTAGCTCGATCATAATCTTGACCTAAAATAAATTGTATTTATAACTTTACAAAAAATAATAAAAAGCAGAAAGTGGCACATTACTCAAAATGATACATTACGCAAAATGGCGCAATATTACACAAAATGATACAACATTACACAAAATGGCACAACATTACACAAAATGACACAACATTACACAACTTTACAAAAAGCAAAATTGGCACAAGCCACAATTTGCAGTTGTTTTTACTTTGATTTACTCCCATAAATAAGTAGAGGAAGGATGTAAATAAATGTATATATATATATATATATATATATATATATATATATATATATATATATATATATATATATATATATATATATATATATATATATATATATATACATATATATATTACTTTAAAAAAGCAACTGACATCATTGTTATGACAACCAATTAATTTTCCACACTAACATATTTTATAATCAAAAATTTGTCAATTTTCCAGACTACTAAAAAATGCTAAAATAATTTCTTAAAAGCTCAGAAGCTTAATGCTTTGGAGATTTCATTCGAGTTCTGGAGTTACTATTTTAACATGAATTCAGTTTTAGATTTCTATTTAAATAAATGAAAAGCATAAATAAAAAATAATATTAATACCTGAACCAACTAAACAAATCTCTATTCCTTTTTCTAATTCTTTTACACCTTTTGTGTATTCAGCCAATACTTTTTCTTCATCTTTAATGCAGTTATCTATGTAAAAACAACTAATAATACTTTTTGAATAAAGAATGTATATATAATAATATATATAAATTTAATAAATATTATAACATTTATAACATTTATAACGTATATAACATTTTTCATGAATAATATCAATTAAATAATGCATGAGTATAAGAAAAATAAAAAGTAAATAATCATTAATATAAGTAAGGTCATTCATTCAATAGCTAATAAGTCTTTCTGTTTGTCTGTTATTCTTTCACTTAAAGTCTTTTCCAATGATTAATTTTTAAAATGATATTTTTATTTTATCATTTAAAACAATTAATTTATATTTTTATAATTTTAATATAACAAACGTTTATAAATGTTATTATTTACATCATTAAAAATTGGAGCAATGTTTTTTTTTTAATTTCAATTCACCTCCCGAAGGCCATGAAGGCCAATGCAGTGAAGGAGGCTAATCTTTTAGTCTTTTACCCTCTCTCAACTCAAGCTGCTGCATGGAGAAGCAAGTTGAACGCAGTACTAGCAGAGGTATGGTGGGGATCGAACTCGGAAATTCTTGCTTGAGGCAAGCCCTCTACCACTACACCACTACCAAATTAACACATCATTAAAAACATGAGTTTAGTAAACTTTATGATAATTACTTTTATGTTATTGTACTATGAAATCTCATAAAAATACAAGCAATATGCACTGCAGGTTATCAAACAGGCCTGTGCCAACATATTGAATAGTGAAAAATTTACTTTACACCAAGATTAAAATAGTATAAATAGATCACACAAAAAATTGTTTTTAGCGTTTGTTAGGCTTATTTCCTTGATTTTTGCACTGCTATAGTTGACCATTAACTGATCAACTACAGTAAAGACTAAAACAGTAGAAGTAATTTCCTAATATTTTTTGTAAACATTAAAATTTGTTTTAGCATTTACAATTCTCTGTTGCATAGTGGACCAGAAGGCAAAGTTTTAGAAATAGAATCATAACTCATGATAAAAAAAAACCTAGAAAACTCATTGAGGACTTTTTGGAAAGATTTTTTCTTGGTTATAGTAAAATTAAAATTTTTTATATTAAACTAAACTTTGTAGACTGGGTTCAAATTACCATACTTGGACATTTTTGGCAAGTTAGTGTTTCTTGATAAATGTTCAAAGTTAAATCTTTTTTTAGATAACAGCTAAGAATAATTTATTAAATATACTTAAAAAAAAAAAGGTTAAAAATTTAATTAATTTGGGGGTCTAGTTTCTGTCTGTTTATTCATAAGAAGTACTTAAAAAAAAGTATTTGATCAAATTTGGATTTAAAATAACATTAGTAAAATATAATTATAAAGAAAGTACTCTGATGGTTTAATATTGCATATATTTAATGCTCCATATATTCATATATTTGAAAATAAAAGTAAATACAGTAAAAAATGTTAACAATCTCATAACTAATATAAATAAGGTTTTCAAACGCAACATCAAATATTCTCTTTGGTTTTAAAAAGATACGCTCATGAGACCTGCTTGAATGCTCTTTGAAAAACAACCTTATGCTCATTGGAAAAATAGTCATGAAATAACTTTGTAGATGTGAATAGATAATTCAATCTAAAACGCCAGGATCAGATATCTAATCAATGACTCTTCACATCTGTAAGCTGTTCTAAATGCAATGTCTTATGAAAAAAAAGATTTAACTAGGCTCTTATCTCTTCATTGTTTGCTTCTAGACCATCCTGAGATTGGAAAACCAGATATTCATCCATTCACCAGTAATAATATTCCATGCTGGTTGCAGTTGCTGGTTGCCTATGTTCTGCCAATAAAATAAATGCTAGTAATGCTACAATTCCTCTTTAATTCCATCTAGAGGTAAGATCAAAAGATCTTACCTCTGCTACATCATGGGGCTCACAGTGGCTGGTGAACTTTAATTCAGATAAAATTCAATTTTTTTTAACCAATTGTTATGGCAATAATTTAGATCTTTCTATACTTATGAACACTAAGGCACTCGATGAGTACATTAACATTCTTATCTATTACCGTTCATCATCTACCATTCATCTTTTAGGATTAACTCTTACTTCCAACCTTTCTTGGAAACCATATATCAAACCCATTTCAAAATAAGCATCTGCTAAGGTTGGATCTCTTTACTGTGCTCATCACTTTCTTATTTGGGATTCTATTCTTTATCTTTATAAATCTCAAATTCTTCCTTGTAGGGAATACTGTTACCATATCTGGGGCGGATCTTCCAATGATGCCCATTCTCTTTAAGACAAGGTGTAAAAATGCATTGTAAACACAGTTGGTCCTGCTCTTGAAGCCAACCTCCAACCATTATCACATCGTTGTAATGATGCTTCTCTTTCTCTTTTCTAAAAAAACTGCTTTAAAGAGCTAGTGTCTCTTGTGCCATCTACTAGAATTCATTCTCGTGTTACTCGTCATTCAATTAAGTCTCATCATTTTTCTGCGACTGTTCCTAAGTGCTCCAAAAACTCTTATTTATCTAGTATTTTTCCTCAAACATCAGTTATTTGGAATTCCCATCCTTCATCTTGCTTTCCTGATTAAAATAACTTGCAATATTTAAAGTCGTCTGTCAATCGTTATCTTGCTCTATAAACTTAATCTTTTCTCTTCCAGCAACTTCCAACTCTAATAGTGGTTGTTTGAAACCTTGTTGGAAGCAAAGATGTAAAAAAAAAATTTGGAAGAGCCTTAAAATTAATTAATAGTAAAAATATTTTTTTTCACATGTCTGTAATGATGCCCTAGCTCACACAAAAACTTCATGTCATCTTCCATACCACTGCTGGTATGCTGATGAATGATGTTGAGTGTTTGAAATTTTTAACCAAGACATCATAATTTTGTATCAGTTCATGAACAAAAAAAAATGATATTTAGTGACAATGTTTTGCTTCGAAAATTCCATCCATAAAATGCTTCAATAACAAATCTAACACATGATGCTGGCAACCAATATATTGTGGAAATTCTAAATTCCTGGCTATAAACTCCTTTTTTACAATATTTTATTTAACTTGCTTTCTTGTCGGTTTATTATTTTGGTGTCCGAAAATGTAATTAAAACAAAAAACAAACATAAACAAAGTAGTTAAAACAAACAATAAAACAAACTTTTAGTGTTTTAGTTTAGCATAAATAAATAGAATCACTGTTGAAAAATAAAAAAATATTTAAAAAAACCTTTGTAAAAATGGACTAAAAAGTAAAAAAAATAAAATATATATAAAAAAATCTTTTTAAAAACAAGATTTTAAAAATGGACTAAAAAATAAAAAATAAACTATTTCATGGGACCCAAGGACTTTTAATATTGGATAAAAATGGATATTTCAACTTAAATGGATATTTCAACTTAAATATCCATTTAAGTTGAAATATCCATTTTTAAAATGTTGTTTTTAAAAAGACTTTTTAAAATATTTTTTATTCAAATATGCTACAACACCACCTTTTGCTCCAGTATTTGTGCATGTTGTGTCACAAATAATCACTTTTATTACTTCCCACATTAAATTCATTTTAATTAATATTGAAAAAATTGTTTTGAAGTCATTGCATGCCAACTGGACCAAGGTTCAATATAGGCCCCTCAAATTTTAATGATACTTAGTGGGTTTCTTATTAATAATGAGAAAAGCGATTCCTAAAAATTTCAGCGTAAAATTTTTTGTGGTTCATGAGATACGTTTATTTGAATATTTTTGATTTTTCCAAAAAATAAAAACTTTAGTAGCAAAAACATGTTTTGTTCATATTTTGAAGCTTTATATTTTAAAAACAAAATTTCAGAAAACCTTCTAGTTTTTTATTGTATACAACTCTAGACTTACTTTAACAAAACTTTGACATTGAATTCTCCAATGTCACATTTTTTCCACAATGGCTACTTAAAAAACCTAAAAAAATGTTCGCAAATATAAAAAGTTGATTTTTGATGAGTCATTATACAAAACCTACAGTTGAAGAAGTGAAAAGACATATTTTTTTAGTTTCTATATATGGTAGGCTTCCAAATTTTCAGAAATTTACTGATAAAATACAATTCCGTAAAAAAATATAGACTTCTAAAAATGGCTGCAGCTAAAACTTAGGAAAATGTGCCTCCACTTCAAACCACTGGTAACCTTGGATAAACACTTGTTTTAATAAGACTTTTTTTTCTTTTAATTTAATAGACTTTATTACAATGATTTCAGAAAAAAAAATAGTGGGTACTCATGGGGAAGTTACAAAATCAGAACAATGAAAATTACCCAAAATATATTAAAAACATTCAAAATAAAGTTATTATTGTACTTTAGTTTGTATTATATATTGTAACACAAAGTATGTATGAATTTAAAAGAATTTCATAATTAGTACTAGAAATTAGTCTTTAATTAAGCCTGAATTAAACTCAGTTTTTAAACACCCTAGCTCTTTCCTGCCCCTCCCCTGTCCATTTACTTTTTAACATGCACATTTTTTCCCAGAACTTAGAAAAAAATTGAACACTTTTCCTTACATAATGTGTCTGGTTTTATGTCTGATGTGTGAAGTGTCTTTATGCCCAAACACACCACTAAACATACACATACAAAAACTGAAATTTAGTTTTTAATGTTTTCATATAAGACTTATAAGTAGCCTATTAGGTAAAAATGAAAAGAAAGACTTTTAGTCTAATTTACCTAACCTTTAATATCATGACTATAAATTTTATAAAATTTTTCCAATACATTCACTATTCTGCCCCTCCCCATTTATTTAATTTATTTGATTATCATTTTCAAATTTAGATTACAACTTATATACCAAGTGATAAGAGTTATTTGACTTGTCAACACAATGCACAAGTTGACTATGTATTAAAGAATATTATTATGTAATAAACCATCAATATAAACATTGAATTTTATAAATAAATTTTGCTAAAAAACTTAGACCAAAGTGGTGTATTCCTATTGGAGGTGCTTCAGGTCTCCATTAAGTATGCATTTGTGAGTACCACCAGAAACTTTTAGCATTACAAATACCAGATATTTCAGACTATAAAGACCTCTTGACATTAGTAGTATGTGACTTAACAAATCAAGACTGCAAGCACAATTACAATAACTACCCAGATACCAACACACTTAAAGAAACCTTACTGCTTTGTTTGATAGACACAGCATAGAAGATACCACCTTTAATCAGTGGCAAAAAGCCAACCAAACACATGTTAAAGTTCCAGTAACCCTTCCAGTGTATGATTTTATTGAAAATGCTTGTCGCTAAATAGACCAATTAAGAGACCACCATTATATAGCCAAAAACCGAGCAGCATATTTGCAGCATCTAAAAATAATATTAGCTAATAATTATATTTTAGCATTACTAGACTTAACTGAAAATTACAGTTTTTTAACTAAAGATCCAGTACAAGGTTTCCATTTGAACAACAGTCAAGTAACATTGCATCCTTTTGCTATTTACTATATGGAAGAAAATATGATAAAATGGAAAAGTGTTTGTATCATTTCAGATCATTTGCAACACAATACAAACTCAGTTAATTGTTTCATTTATGAAGTAATAAAACAAAGGAATTGTTGCCTTACTTTAACAATTGTATTCATTTTAGTGATGGAGCAGGTTCACTATACAAAAATTATAAAAACATATCTAACTTATCAGGGGCGGATCCAGGAAATTATTTGGGTACATCTGATTTTTATAAATAACCTCTAACCTTCCTCCTTCTTTAAGAGTGGATGGGAAGGGATTGAGAAAAATCGACCAATTAGCCCACATCACAAAAAACAAGACCTTCGAATATTTAATGGGTCCCTAATATTTTCCAAAAAAAAAGTTTTTCAAAAATATGTCAACCTGGTACTCAAATGAAACAAAACTATATAAAAAGTTCAAAAATAATATTCATTTCGAAAAAATTTTAACTTATCAAAATTATTATAAAAAAACATAAAAAATGCATTTTTACCATTTTTTGTTAAAAAATGCAATTTTTTATGTAATAAAACCAAAAACAACAATTTTTTTTCAAAACAAATATTATTTTTGAAATATTTATATAATTTTGCTTCATTTGAGTACAACGTTGACATTTTTTTGAAAATATTAGGAACCCATTAAATATTTGAGGGTCCTTAAAATATTTTTTATTCAAAAAAAATTTAAACCTAGTGTTTTTGTAAAGTTTTTGTAAATCTATTTAGAGTCTTTCTTCTTTTTTCAAAATATGCAAGGTTGCCACTGGGGCATTTTACTTTTAGATTATAAAATATATTTACACATTATTTACAAATCTATTATTAAAAACTATATTTTCACATTACTATTATAAAAATAAATTAAACATTGCAAAATTTTATATTTTTATTGTAACAAATATATTATAAAATAACACAAATTATAATAAAACATTTTTATATTATAATATGCAATTTTAAATTATATAAAGAGGTATTTAAAGGTGCATAATTAATGCCCTATTTTGTTAAAAAAAAGTAAATTTTAAAATCTTCATTTTATTAAATCTTGCTGATAAATACATAAAATCTGAAAAAAATCAATTTAGAAACAAAAGCGTTTGCCAATATAACAAATACAACATAGCATTTTATATACAAAGAATGATAACACCAAATCGGTGTTGTAGGCAATGATATTTATAATTTTTCAGGAGCCAAAATAAATAATATGTCCATTCATGTTCACATGAAGTTAATGGAAAAGTAGCAAGTAAATTTTTAATGTTTTCACAAGCAGCAAAGTTTATCACTTTTAACAACTTAGTAATATTAAAATTTAAATCACCTTTTTAAATTTAACCAAAAGGCTTTGCATAAATAAAGCTCACAAAGTTAAAGCATGGGAATTTAGTAGATCTGTCCCATAAAAGTCACTAAAAGATATGATAAAGCCCTTCTAGTGTTTTGTAAAAATTGAAATTATGATATTATTTTTTGGAACTAGCACAAAGTTCTTGAAAAGTATCCAAAACATAAATAAACTTTTTCCACCCAACATGTTCTGCAAAAACGTTGTAATTGTTTTTTTAACAGGCAACGGAAACTTTTAATATGCTCCTGTAACATATTGTTGCCTGGTACGTACAAATTTAAAAGGTATAATACTTAAAGTGCCAAAAAAGATACTTGACTTATTGCAAAATACGACATAGTGCCAAAAAGATACTTGACATATTGCAGTTTGTATGAGGCACAAATAGTTAAATTAAGTCTGTAACTGTTGCAATGACCATATGCAGATTTTTCATTTAGATTTAAAATACAAGAGGACAAACCTTTAGTGTGACCATCAATTGCTCTAGTACCATCATATCAATGAACTCTGCAATTCATGATATAAAAAGAAAAATCTGAAATACTTTTTACCAAAAAATAAAATAATCCTTAGTAGTAACACCATTTGTGCAATCTAAGAAACTGATAAATTCTCTTATTGAACTTGGAATCAACAAACCATATAATTAATAACAGTTGTTCTTTACTTTCACTGTCAGAAGCTTTATCAGCAAAAATAGAAAAATGTTTAAAGTTTTAAAATTATCTTGTCATTAATAACTCCTCCAAAACACTTTTTTACCTAATGATATGGTGTCTTAGATATGTAAGAAGCATTTTTTTTTTGATAATATCTAAGTTGATCTTGAAGAATTTTATCACCAGCTTTAAAACTAACACTTGATTTTTTATGAAAACTAAATAATTTACAAGAGTGGACAAGACTTGTATCTTCACAAGAATTTATATTTTTCTGTAATATACTTTTCAAAGAGATTAATTTTGCTTTGCCATTTTGTTGCATGTTTTCAATTGTATGATTTATATTCCTATTATGCTTGACATACCCTAGATCTGCCCCCGGTAGCGGTAGTTGGTTTTTAAACAGATCAACTTTTGATTGTTTCAAAATATGTTTACTTAAATTTTTGTTAGGCTTTTATGACTTAAACTTCTAACATCAAACATTAAGAGACATTTTAAATATCATAAACCTTATATATTTCAGAGTGTAAGTATTAAGGTACGTCCGACAGTGTTTTTCATAAATAAAATCAATTACTTAAAATTTAAATATTGAAATCTAAACAAAATAAAAAGATTAATCATAGAAATAAATAATGTTAGGTACGTCCATTGTTTTATTTTGACACAAACTAATTATTAAAACATTTTTCTCCTGATTATCGCAAAACAAAAGATTTTGATTAAGATTTTACTTAGGGTGTAATACTAAAGGTACCATCATACGAGGCTACTTGGACCCAAATTTGATACATATTTGATGTTTGTGGTTCTCTCTCATATTTATGTCAATGTAAAAAAAAACTTGTTATTGCTTATTCATGGACTTATGAATTAGTAATGATGATTGTAGAGAAAAAAATATTTGGGTGGACTTCTGTCCCCCCTTTTATAGGGGGTTAAGATTGGGTTCAAGTAGCCCCTATTGTGGGGCTACTTGAACCCATAGTGTAAAAAGCCCTGCCCTTTTGAGGTTTCTAGCAAATCTTTCGGATAGCTGATGATGTCTCCTAATAAAAGCTTTTACCAATTTGACATCTGAGAGATTTTCATTGAAACATTGAACATCACTCCCTAATCAATCTAGATAGGATTTCACAATAATTTGAAGATCAAATGAGGTCAGTGGGTAGCAAAAAGTTGAAGCTTTATTTAAGTGATCATAAAATGACTGTTCTTCTTCAGGTGTGAAGACAGCTGGATGCCCTCCATGTTTTTTGTGATAGTAAGGTGTCGTCTTCAAAGCGCTCTCTTAATGCTGGAAAAGCTGATTTAAATTGTTTTTCAGCAAATCGTTGACTCATAGCTCCATGTTCAATATTAACACAGACTTGCTATAAGTTTTGATCGGTATGGTCTTTGTAAGCTCTGGATCCCAATTTCCTTTTTAATCTGCAAACCATTCTGGCAGAACCAGTTATGATAGCATGAAGTATACGCAAAAAGGTGTATAACAATAGCTTTAACCAATCATCAACATTATTTAGGTATACATTTTATAACCTAACAAATATTAAAAACATGGTTAAAATAACAAATATATCAACTCCTTTTAAATATATTATTTCACTTTGAAGTTTAAAGTTAATAAAATATAAATTTAATCATTTTCAAACATAAGCTGCTACAGTGACATTTGGGTTCAAGTAGTCCCAATTTTGAACTTCAAACATAAAAATAATCTTTTTATCAAAATAATAAAATTAAAAGACAATTATAATTGCTACATTTTGTAGTAACTGATACTTCTTTTAGGAAATGCTGTCAAATAATTTTTATCTTTTTTGGTTATGTCTGGATAGACAAAAGTTTTACCATTATTGTCATTTCCTTTAAATAAAATATTTTTTGATCACTTTTTGCAAAAAAATTTAACCTTTTTTTATTTTTTATGTTACTTAATTTGAGTAAGTGTATAATTAACTTATTTACTATCATACCAAATAATTTTATAAAACAATAACAAATAAATGAACATTTTATTTTTTTGGGTTCGAGTAACCCCAGGTAGCTCAAGTAGCCCTGCATGACAGAATGTCCAAAAATTGTTATTAGTAAAAAAATTAATAACTTGCTTTTATAACAAAAAAAATAAAAATTCAAAAATGTTTTTCATTGTTTAATAAAATAATATTGGGTACGTCCATTGATTCTTCTAAATAAATGTTATTTATATATTATAACTTTAACTTCCAGTTAAAAAAGATGTTTTTATTTAAAGTTGAAAAAAACCACTCGAAACAAGAATTTATTTACTTTATTTACTCTAAACAAGAAGCTAAAAAAAATTTTTTTTATTCATAAGTGTTTATATAACGATAACAAAACTTAAATCTAATTTACTTGACGGTTAAGTAAAAAATTATTTTTATAAGCAATATTATATTATATCGGCTTTTTTTTTTTTTTAGATTTAATTTTATTTTTAGGTACGTCTACAGACGTTCTAGATGTAACCTAGATCCGCCCCTGCTTATGTCACCACAAATATACTATGAGTATACTTATGTAAATGTTCCTAAAATGCAGCATATAGTTCCAGTTGCTTCTCTTTTAATAGGAATTAATATAGCATGTGTTTATAATATAAAATGGTCTTTAGGCAATATTGTAGAAATATCTGAAGAAAATCAAGATGTTCTTATCAAGTTCATGACACAGTCTATTTCCTTAAACACTTTTATTTGGCCACATAAAGAAGATATTTTCTGGGTTCCAATAACACATGTTTTATGCAAAATTTTATCTTTAAATGATCAATCAACAACTGGTAAATGGTATGAA